ATAGCCTCTTCAACAAATGGTGTTGAGAGATTTGGACAGCTACATACAAAAAAAGAAAAAAGAAACTCGATCACCAACTTACATCATAAGCAAAAATAAATTCAAGGTTGATAAAAGACTTATTTAAGTCGTGACACCATAAAGCCCTAGAGGAGAACATAGGAGGGAAAATTTCAGACAGTCCACACAGCAAACATCTTCACTGATATGTCTCCTAATGCAAGGGAGATAAAGTAAAGAATAAGTAAATGGGATATCATCTAATTAAAAAGCTCCTTAATGGCTAAGAAAACAACATTAAAATGAAAAGAGAACCAATCATATGGGAAAACATATTTGCCAATGACACCTTGGACAAGGGCTTAATCTTTAAAATATTTAAAGAACTCACACGACTTCACTCCAGGAAGACAAACAGCCCAATTAAAAATGGGCAAAAGACTTGAACAGACACCTCTCCAAGTAGGATATACAGAGGGCCCAGAACCATATGAAAAAATGCTCAGCATCACTAGCCATCAGAAAGATGCAAATTAAAACCACAATGTGATAAGTGTAACACCAGTCAGAATGGCCATCATAAACAAATCAACAAATAAGTGTTGGAGAGGATGTTGAGAAAAGGGAACTTCAGCGCACTGTTGGTGGGAATGCAGACTGTTTTAGCCACTGCGGAAAACAGTATGAAATTTCCTCAGAAAACTAAAATTGGCACTGCCTTTTGACCCAGCAATTCAACTGCTGGTACTATATCCCAACAATCCTGAAACACCAATCCAAACAAACCTACACACTCCAATGTTCATAGCAGCACAATTTACAATAGCTGAGTGCTGGCTGCAATCTAAGTGCCCGCTAGTAAATTAGTGGCTCAGAAAACTGTGGTACATTTACACAATGGAATACTACACAGCAGAGAGAAAGAAGGAGCTCCTATCCTTTGTGACAGCATAGATGTGACAGCATAGATGGAACTTGAGAGCATTATGCTCAGTGAAATAAGCCAGGCAGTGAGGAACAGATAGCATATGATCTCACTTTAAACTGGAACATGATCAACAATAGAAAAAAGCAAAGAAAATATACCCAGATATTGAAAGTAAGAACAATCTAGCAATAGCCAGAGGGGAGGGAGGATGAGACGTTGAGGGAAGAGTTTTTAGGAACTAGTATAGAGGACACTTGGACAAAACCAAGAAGGGGGTAGAAGCAAGGAAGGGAGGTGGGTTTGGCTGGGGCAGGCAGGGTGTTGTTGGGAGAAAATGCAGACAAATGTAATTGAATAACAATAAAATAATAATAATAAAATTGGTAACAAGATCCAATGTGATTCTTCAGCCTGTTTTTGAAGTTCATGTAGCAGTTATTGACCACCCATATATAACTCAACAACCTTCTTCCTTCCATTCTCCCTCCTTCTCTCTCTCCGTTTCACCCTTCCTTTCCCTGTTTCTCCTTCCACTAGCCCCATTTCTCTGGCTTCACATCAGAAGTTTCTATTCAAGCCACTCCTTGCTTGCTGTCATTTCTTTAGGTTGAGATACCTCTGTTTACATAAGTGACCTAAAAATTGTTTAGGGATACTTTTCATGATTGCATATGAATGCTGATTTCATCAATTCAGTATCTCATGAGCATGTACTTTCCATTTGTATATCCACTTGTTACTCTATGTGTATGTTTTAGGCTGTTTTCTATATTGATTTGTTGTCACCTCCAAACAGGTTATTAATATATTAAGTGCAAGGGCCCAACCTCATTTGTACCCTTCTTCTGACTTCTTATGAGGCTCTTTACCAAAGAAGCTTTCAGTGCATGTCAACTAATTTTGGGGCATTATTTTCTAAGCATAAACACAGGTGAAATCATCACTGTTACAGGCGGTTCCATATAGCTTGCATGTAGTCTTCATCTACCATCTTTACTCAAAGGTGGAATAACCAGGAAGAGGTGAGTATACTATTGGCCAATCACTCAATTCTGTATTTGTGATTGCTGTTCAATTTAGTATATATACTGAGTACCTGACAGGTACCTAAGAAAATGCTAATTGTTCAGCCAAGTTATTTTCAAATTCGTGAATGCATCACCATCCTCAGGAGGGCTTATCAATTATAGAGTTAAAACCTACATCACTGACCTCCACCCCAAAGATTTTTACTTTGTAAGTTGAGGATGGGTTCCAAAATTTTGCACTTCTAACAAGTTCCCAGGTAATGCTGGTGCTGCTTGTCCAGACACCACACCTGGAGTACTAGTGATCTAGGAAGTACAGAGGAAGATCTAAGACATGGTCTCTGGTTTCAAGGCATTTACAGTCTATTCATGGAGACAAGCCAGGTTCAAGAAACATTTGACAGCACAAAATACTGTAGAAAGTTTTAGTATTTATTCATTCAAGAAATATTTAATGAGTACTAACTACATGCTCAGCACTGTTGTAGGTACTGCTATTATATTAATGAACATGATAGGCAAAAACTCTTGTTCTCATTTCAATCCTAATCTCCAAAGGTAATTCTAATGGGAAAAAGCAGACAATAAAATATAGCAAATATAAATAGTTTATGTGCTAAGAAGAAAAAACAAAGAAGGGGATAAGACATTAGAGGAGTTTGAAATTTTAAATAAGTGGCCAGAGAATATCTTCCAATTCCATCATTTGACAAGCATTTATTGAGTGAAAACTCTGGGTCAGGCATTGTTATAGATTATGGTGATACAGCCATAAACAACACAAATAATAAACCCAGCTATTATGTAAGGTACACATTTATTTGAAAGCCAGGGAATCTGGGAGTTTGTTGTTAACTTTCATGAACTCATTATGTGACTGTGAATGGCTGATACTCCCCTTCTCTGAGCCTTGGTTTCTACATCTGTTAAATGTAGCAGCTGGACAAAATTATGCTTGAACTCCTATGCATCTCTTAGGCCACAAGATGTTAAGTCCTTTAGGCAATGGGAAATATGTAAGAATGCTTGAAGAGAATTTTGTAGAGGAAGAAAACCTTAATGCTTTTCATAGGCATAGGGGAGCAATGGGGTTTGCGAGGTAAGAAGAAAATTTAAGAAAAAGAATAACATGAGCAAAATAATGGAAGCAAGAATGGGAGACACATGTTCAATAAAGAGCAAGGTCAGAGAATTCCCACTGTTATGTAGCTGAGATAGTTGAGTGGCAGGTAAGTGCTCAATAAAGATGAGGTTGTAGCTAATTATAGAGCATCTAGGATGGGAACCCACTAATGGTTTTGATCAATGGTTTTGATCTGTTACAATTATACAGTCAAAGTGATAATTTTAAAAAGGTTAACATAGCAACCATAGTTAAATCTTCAAAATTCTTAATTTTTTTTCATAAGATGATCTCTGAATCACAAAAATTTAAAGTTGTAATTTGTTAATGTCACTGGCTGATTATAATATTGCTATCAAACTAATTTTGAGGTGCTTTTCAAGCTTTAAAAGTCAATGATACTGCATAATTTTCCTTAAGAGTACTACCATATGTTTGAACCACTGACATATTACTATTTAGACTTAAGTTTTGAAACCTTGGGAGGTGAATTAAAATAGAAAATTATTAATGATATATTCTTTTGTATTTCCTGTTATCCCATAAAATATATGGTTGGATTGATATTGGGTTTATCCTCATCTAGATATATAGATAAATCTATATCTTTTTATCAGTATCTCTATTTCTGTACACACACATGCACACAAATAGTGCCCACTTAGAGTGATGCAAATATCTCTAAAACCAAGTTATTCCCATCTGCTAGCTTGATCATAGATAACAAAGGTAATATTCTTGGGAATTATCTTCTAGTTTTTTATCTTTAATCACCTGAGAAATATCCATATCTGCTTTATGTTTGTAGCTCTCCAGGCTGTGGTCCTCCCAAAGACAGTTGCTGTGGAAGACAGTAATTATAGGGGTTAGCTGTTCAAGGAAAGGTGTATTGGGCCAAAAAAAATAGAGATGGCTATCTTAGATATTGGTTATGTAAACACTCCAACCTTAGCAAATTTTACCTTAACTTTCAGGTTATATCATAATTTTGCAGAGGTACAGTGGTGAATTTAACAAATCATAACAGACCAAATATTCAAAGCTCTCATTTGTTAGGGGTAGTTTAAACTCAGGTAAAATATGACACTGGAATAAGATAAGCAAAAGTGACAATGATGATTATATTACAGTGGAAAGTGATTATTTTCCCTTTTATTTTCCAAATTATGGGCAATGTTGTTTGATGGTTTGTTTTATAAAGTGGTAACTTTCTTCGGAGTTGTTTTTGATAAATGAGGCACATCCTTTAGTGTTGCTTTTTTAAAAAAATGGCAGGTTTTTAAAATTTTTACTTTTTTCCTTTTTATTGACTTTTTGGGGTGACACCAGTGTTGATTTTTTGAAGAATAGTTAAAACATCTAGAGTAATAAAAAAGCCTGGAAAAAATGTCAGGATAGTTCAAGAGAAAAGAATACAAAAGTTGAACTCTCAAAAGAAGGATATTTGAATTTTATCATTTATCATAATGTAAATCTTAATAAACTTTTTCCTTTGAATATGCATTTTCATATTAAATATTTTCTATTCTAAAAAAAATCTAGAGAACTTTGGGATCATAGAACCAAAATATTACTGAATCACAGGGGTGATATTTTCCCCTTCTATATATACATGATTCTTTTTTATTTCTTTTTTTTTTATTTTTTCACATTTTTTTTATTTTATTTTATTTTTAAATTTTATTTAGTTATTTTTCAAGTACAGTTTTTTTGTCTATTTCTCCCATCCCGGCCCCCCCCACCCCATGCTCCCCACCTCCCTCCCATTTCCACCCCCCTTAGTTCTCATCCCTGTGTCCTTCACATTTGTTCCTCCAAATCCCTCCCCTTTTTTCCCCTTAAATTCCCTTCCCTCTCCCCTCTGGTCACTGTCCCCTTGTTCTCTATTTCAGTGTCTTTTTTATTTCGTTTTAATAAATAGGAGATGGAGAATTGTCGTGGGAACATTCTGATGGTGATATCTTCCAGCAACCTGCCAACAGAGAAGCAGTAAGTGTGAATAGCTCTAATAATTCAACATTCCACAGCATCAGGCCAAACTTTCCTCTCTCCATGGCTACTCTCCCAGTAGCTCCATAAAAGGGCCTATTTCTAACACTATTTTTCTTGCCTTTCCTCAAAAACATAAATGGCATTATCACCAACCTGTAACCATTTAGTGCACTGTACAATTGGTAACCATAGCAGGACATAGAAGAGGGGAGGGGAGGAGAGGGGAGAAAGAAAGGAAAGAAAGAAAATTAATTAATTAGTTAATCACTAAATTAATTAATTAATTGGAGCCCCAGCCCTTGGGAGCCCTTCATCTAGATCAAAAGTTGGTTTCCTTTCCGGATGACTTGCCAAATGTTTGTCTTCTCTAAGGCAAGCAGGTAACTCACTACACCAATCCAGAATGGTGAAGTGGTTCTGTGGATTGTCAAGTAGGCCTGCCCATGCTTTTAGCAAAGGTACTTTGGACATGCCACATAAACCCTCCCCAAGCCTTAGACTCTCACTTATATCCCTGGAAGAGAGGAAAGGTAGCAAGATAGATTCTCCTTTCTCATCCCACAACATCTCATTTTTATTCTTGGTGCTAATCTCAGAATAAACTTTACGAGTAGGCATCTCTCTACGTATAGTAATAGCATCTCTTGTTTCTTTGTATTTTGAAGCTATGAAAAAAGTAGAACCTCTCTCTAAAAATGTATATGTTTAAATACAGCAACATTCAAGGCTTCTTCAAATCTTGAAAGGATTTGTTCCAGTTCAAAGAACTTATCATATTAAAGGACTTACAAATATGTATGATATGTACAAAGGCATTTGTTGCACATAAAATAGGTATTCATCGCACCATTGTACAAAAAAAAACTGTTCAGGGGCATTCAATTCAGCATTTCTTTCATAAGAGAAAAACAAATAGACAACCTAAGTGTCTGTCAACAGAGGCATGGTGAAACACCTTAACTCGGGGACCCTGTGCAGGCATTAAAAAGAATGCAGTAGAGTTCTGGCTGGTGTGGCTCCGTGGACTGAGCACCAGCCTGTGAACCAAAAGGTTGCTGGTTCGATTCCCAGTCTAGGGAAGATGCCTGGATGGTGGGACAGATTCTCCAGTAGGGGGTGCTTGAGGGGCAAACACACATTGATGTTTCTCTCCCTCTCTTTCTTCCTCCCTTCCCCTGTGTCTAAAATTAAATAAATAAAATATATTTTTAAAAAAAGAATGCAATAGAAATGCAGTAGAGTGGAGGGACATCAAAGATATATTATGGAAGCAAAATGAGGTAGAGGACACAATTTATACTATCATATCCTAATGTAAAAATTTTGTGTGCGTGTGTGTAAATGTACATAAAAAATCTTTAAAGTCATATAACAACATATAGTGGTAATCTCACAAGGGGTGGAGAATTGGGCATGAGGACAGATCAACTTTAAGTTTTTATTTTATATCTTTTGTATTATTTGATATTTAACAATGACTATAAATTAATTTTTCATATTCTTTTTAAAAAATTTTTATTGTTGTTCAATTATAGTTGTCTCCAGTTTCCCCCTATCACTCCACATATCTGGCATCAAACTATATTATGAGAATAAATTAACTTTTAAATAAATAACATTTAAAGAATTTTCTAAAATACCAAGAATTAGTTCTCAACATGCATTGGATAAAAGGGAAAAGTCTAGAATATTATACAGCAGATCTATAGTGAGGGTGTGAGGAAGGTGTTGTTAGGAGACAATAAAATGACCAATACAGACAAACAGTGCTGCTAAGGCCATGTTTGCCAGCCATCACATGTGTCCCTTCTGATTTGCATGCCCCCAGCTGGCCAACACCCACAGCCTCGCTTTTCTGTGTTGTGTTGTAATTTTCTCAGCCCCAATATGTGTTTGTAGTAGGAAGTTGACAGTGGGTAAATTAGTAGTTGTCAATCAGATGACATTTAAAACCAAATTTAGATCTCAGTCACCTTGAGCTGTGTGCCTTAATCTAGGTGCCTTAGCTCAGAACTCCAAGTTTCGTGGCCACCTCAGTGGTCTTTCTGATAGGCCATTAATTAGCCTTTCTTCTTGACTTTGTCTTATGCTGCCCCCAACACTATCCCTTATCTTTCACCCTCATTGTTCTTCCTAAACTTCTGATGATAGGCTTGGATTTAATACAGTACTTCCTGTAGCAAAAGAGTTCAGATACAGAATGCAGGGCCTTGAAATAGTTATCGATTTTCAAAGGAGTTCAAGGCCTATCTCTAGAAACAAACATTTGGTCCTTGTAGACCAAAATTTCCACATAGTTCCACCTTATTATAAATATTTACTTTGTTCTAAAAGATAGAGATATTTGTGATATAATTTGAATAATAAATAGCATCTATAGTAATGAAAAAAGTATGTACCTATCACATACTAGGCACCCAGTAAATACCTGTTAAATGAATGGTGTAAAAGAAAGTGAAATGTTTGTGTGTGTTTGGGCAGAGGGAAGCTTTTTATTAATGGTAATGCACATGAATTTCTCCCAAATCAGAGAGAAACTCCAGACTTGTTTTTTCTCTTCCACTCAAAAATTAGAAAGTAGAAGAATCCCTTTCTAAATATCCTTGCAGTGCAACTTTCTGCGTGGGAGAAAAAAAGGCAGCCTTAACAACACGTTTCCAATTTATTAGACTGCCCCTATTTAGAGGGGACCCTCAAAACTTCAACAGAAACACAGCTGATTACTTTATTTTGCCAAGTTGGCTGAAAACCATCAGTTTACCAAGCTGTATGAAGTATACAAGAAAAACAAGTAGATTCAATTAAGCCTCCTTTGTAGAAACATGAAATGATTTCTGTTCAATTTCTGGGTCATAATTTCACATGAACTCATCCTAGTACCATTATGGGGAATGTGTGTGGGGAAGAGGAATGGGGGAAGGTAGGTACAGAGTAAAAGCCAAAACATGAGAGCAAGCATAATTTTATTTTAGACAACAGCCAAACTCAGATTTGTCCCCAATAGATTATTCATAGATTTACCTTTAGAAAAATGAAAGACTTTGGGATAGAAACAATATGAAATGAATAAAAAATTCATGTGTCATTCACATTGTCTGGCAATGGTTTGGGAAGAAAAGTGGCCTAAGTGACTCCCAGACAGGGATATTCCTGATTGCTAGTGAGGGAGATATAAGTGTGATCATGGCTGTATGGATGAGAACACTTTCTAAAATCATTTTAAGATTAAACATTTTATTTTGCCATAACTATATTCACTTGCAGTTGTAAGAGATGATACAGATTATGTATGCCCTTTACCCAGTTTCCCACAATAGTAATATCTTGTAAAACTCCAGTATAGGGTCATAGTCATGAAGGCATTTTCCCTTTCTGAACTCTAAGAACTTTCCTATCTCCACTAATAAAACCCTGTATCTTAGATCTTATAACAATATGGAAGAAATTTATAGGGAACTGCTATATTGGTGGGAATTTTCTACCTCAAAAGTTTGAAATATGTATCAGTTCTTTAAGTTAGTCAATAGAATGTGGAACAGAACAAAACAAAGCATAGCTAATCTGAAACTAATACAAAATAATATTGGAAGTAAACTGTAATTGAAAAAAATTTGTAAATTAAAAATGATTTTTTAAAAGTATAGCCATATGATCATTTCTACCCAAGTAGTTTTTTTAAAAAATTTTTATTGAGGTAAAATTGCTAAATAACATTATATAAATTTCAGTTGTACAACATTATAATTTGATGCCTGTATTCACTTTTGGTGCATGCTCAGCATCAAAAGACTAGTTTCCATCCATTACCATATATTTGACCCCCTTTACTCATTTTGCCCTTCTCCCAACCCAGTCTCCCTTTTGTAACCACCATTCTGTTGTCTGTATGAGATATTCTTTGTTTTGTTTGTTACTGCTTTGTTTTACATTCCATATATGAATGAAATTATTTCTATCTGTTTTGATCTGCTCTCTCAAGCAGCCTACTCTTAGTTGGTTTTTAAGATAAGCTCCTATTTCACTTACAACTTTGAGGCATTGATGCCTTTTTCCTTTTTGCTATAACTTACAAGATTAGAATAGCTCCTGGTAAGTCTCTTTCATTTGTTTACGGCAACAACTCTAAAAGAGTCATTACTTTTACTTTTTCCAGATATATTTTATTGATTATGCTATTACAGTCATCCCATTTTTTTCTACCCTTTATTCCCTTCCACCTTGTATGTGCCCCCCCCCAGCAGCATTCCCCCACCTTACTTCATGTCTATGGGTCATATATATAAGTTCTTTGGTTTCTCCATTTCCCAAACTATTCTTAACCTTTCCCTGTCTATCTTCTACCTACCATTTATGTTCCTTAGTCCCTGTACATTCTCCCCCATTCTCCCCCCTCCCCTTGCCCACCCTCCATGTGATCTCCATTTCTGTGATTCTGTTCCTGTTCTACTTGTTTGCTTAGTCTTTATTTTTGTTTTTGTTTTTTAGGTTCAGCTGTTGATAGTTTGTTGTCATTTAACTGTTCATAGTTTTAATCTTCTTTTTCTTAGATAAGTGCCTTTAACATTTCAGATAGGCTTGAATAAAGGCTTGGTGATGAGGAACTCCTTTAACTGGACCCTATCTGGGAAGCACTTTATCTGCCCTCCCATTCTAAATGATAGCTTTGCTGGGTAGAGTAATTTTGGATGTAGGTCTTGCCTGTAAGGTTTCTTTTGAGAAATTAGCTGATAGTCTTATGGAAATTCCTCTGTAGATAACTGTCTCCTTTTCTCTTGTTGCTTTTAAGATTCTGTCCTTATCTTTAATCTTGTCTAATGTAATTATGAAAAAGTGTTATGAGTTGCTTCTATGTTAACCATAGCTAATTATCAAGTAGTTGTAACATCTTTCATTTACATGTGTGCATTATGAAGCATGTCTTATTACACTGCAGTATTCTTTCAACAAGAATAATATTAAAAATAAATAATGTTACAAAGCTTTATTATTAAAAATAG